TGCAGCATCTCCGGCAACGAACCGCGGTCAACCTCTCGCACGTCTACCCCCCCCCCCTCCCCCCCCCGCTCTGGCCCGCCCTGTCACCGCCATGGGCTACCTACGGTCTATCTTACCCGCAACCATGAGTGCGACTGACCTCCGCCCAGGTGCCGCAAGCCAGCTCCCCCAATTCTTCTCTGCTGTTCACCTGCCTCCTCCGTCTTCTCCTCCTCCTCCTCTCCTCCTCCTCGCCGACCTGCTCACCCCGCAGACTGTGCCACCCCGCCAGCTCGCCTGCGCACACACCCCGCGACGTCGTCGGCATCGGAAGCAATCGGCGCACCACAAGCGCAAGCCTCGAACCGGAGCTGAAGTGCGAGCGTCCATGCTCCTCTACACCGACCCGAGCCTGGCCGAGGTCCCAGGCTTTTCCCAAGAGCAATTGGATGCCTTGGCCCGGAGCGTCGAGCAGCGGCGGCAGCAGCTCGAGAGCGACATCAACAACTACATCCAGCGCCAGCAAACGGCGTTGCGCAACCATGAACAAGAGGTACCTACTCCATATTGCTATATATAGGTGCTCTGGTTTTGGGGTGCATTGATGCCCATGCATTTGCGCAACGGCGCAGTTGCGCCGCCGCCGTTTGCACCAGAGCCCCATTATCGCGCAGCGCTGATTTGGGCCTAGCTCGTAGAACACTACCGCTCCATGGACTACGATGCGAAGTCGGGGTCTGCGGATAAAACCCGCGTGGGAAATACCGAAGGCGTAGCCAGCAGACCAGGCATGGCCGCGGTCTCTGTGCATAGCCAGCAGCAGGAGCCGATACAGTCACGGTCACGGTCAGAATCACCTCACTCAGACTCACCGTCAGCGCCGCGGTCGCCGTCTGACGCGAGGGCGGCGCCGGAAGAAAAGGCTAAACGCACCAAGCACACGCGAGTCCAAAAACGCGAAAAGGAACTCTACGGCCTCGTCACCCCCGTCTTTCTCCCACTGCTCGACGCACGCGAGACGTCGCCCACGATTCCCAAGGACAAGAAGCAGCAGCCCAGGGCGGAGCGAGCAGCCGACGTCGCATCCACCGTCACTGGCGCACAGGCGGCTCCCCCGTCAAGAGATGGTGATAAGACGGCCAAAGAAGCCCGCAAGACCCGCAAGGAAAGCAGGGACATGGACATGACGGCCCATGGCCAGCCAGCCAAGGACCAGCAACCCGACGCAGTCAAGAAAGTCAAGCGGTCCATTATCAAAAAGTCGTCGCTGCGTCACAAGGACACGCCCAGGTCGCGGCGCAAAAGAGTCAGTCTGGTCATTGATGGCCAGACTGTCCTCCCGGCAGACAGCGTCGTCGAACCTGCCCTCACCTCGCCGAGCAGTGAAGCCACGTCGGCTTCCAACTCGACAGCCTCTCTCGACGACATGATCGACCCGCGGCTCACCAGACCAGACTCGTCCGTCCACCTTTCGCAAAACCACGCAGTACACCACAGTCTCCCACTGACAATGTCAAGGTACACCCACGCCCCCGTCTCTTACAAGCCAGTTTCCCAACCAATTCCCACCCCGGCCGTCGTCGAAGCCACGTCGCCTCCCGCACAACTGCATTCCCCGCGCTCCCCAAACCTTGCCTTCACCGGGACCGCGCCGAAAACTCTAACGCGCACGTTCCTCGACCCCTCCCCTCTGCCTCCCGCCACCGTTCCCGACACCGACATTGCAGCCCTCGACGCAGCCTCGGAACCCGCATCCCAAGACCCCGCCAACAACCAGCACGACGATCCGCAGTGGCACACGTATGTCGGCGGTCTGCACGGCTCCGGTGTCGACAACCTGGACCAGGCGGGCAGCTATGGCTATCCGAGCTCGCTGGGCGCCAGCTACCTCGAGAGTTATATGCAAAACCGGCCGTTGAGCGTGCGCATGGTGGCGGCGGACAAGGCGGGGCTGGACGAGAGGGAGAAGAGGGGTGATGAGGACGGGGACGAGGATGTGGACGAGGAATTCGGAATGGAGATTCCCAGTCGGAAGAGCGAGAATGACGGCGATGTGGATATGGACATGGACATGGACATTGTGGGCAGTATGGACGACTTTTAAGGACAGAGCGGAATCCGCTCGCGTATTGTCGTGTTCAGCGAGATGTCGAGGCCCGCTTTGGACGCGGTTTGGGATGCGCTACCCATCGATATGTAACACCGTCCGTGCGTGTATGCATCCGTCCGTTTTTGGAATAGAAAAAAAAAGCTTATCTGGGGGGGTTTGGACTCGTTTGGATACAGGGCTGTTACTGCGGGGATTTAAATCTTGGCTCTGTACTATACGTTGGCTGGGAATCTACGGGGGCGGTGGTATGTGTGGGGTATAGGTGTAGGGAGGGAAATGGGTTTGTGGGGGAGGGGAGGGGAAAGCATGGGGAAGGGGGAAAGCATGGGAGAGAGGGGGAGAGACACTGAAACAGAAAGAGAAGGAGTCAAAGAAGAAGAACTACAAGAATATCAAGCAATCAAAACATCACCAAGCCACCAAGAAGCATGAAATAAATAAATCCTCGTGCTCAAACCGAGTAATGCATTGCATCACGTTTTCAAAAACAGTGCGTTGTGAATCATGTACAACTACCATCTAATTCTTGCACATGTATATTTCAAGCACTCAACCACATACATGACATAAATGCAACTCCTCCACCTTTTGCCAGAACAACCAGCTTCGACTTCGACGTGCATTTTCTCCACCCCTAGCCCCATTCCCATTCCCATTGGTAATCTCACGCTGATTATTGTATTGGGATTGCAACGATCCCTTTCCATCATTGATCTCACCTCATTCTTGGGATTCCAAACATACGCCTACAAGTCATGCCTCTCACATAACCAAGCACACCACCGCCCATACAAAACAAGACGCCAGCCAATCTAATCCCGCTCACTGACCTGCTCTACGCGATTGACCACGCGGTCCAGCAAACTGACCATCTCATCGCTAACAAAGCGCGGATCGTCCTCTTGAATGAAATGGCCACAGTGCACGGCGGTAATGGGACCAATGGCGCGACCTTCATCGGTAATGTCGACGAGGCCTTCGTTGTAGCGGCGCCAGGCGGTGTTGGCATAGGTCATGGTTAGGATTTTGGGGATGCGGAGAGAGCTTTGGTCTGGGGTGTGGATTAGTTGATGTATACAAAGGCGTTGCAAGTGGAATCAAGGGCAAATGTTAGGAGTAGAGAAACAAAAAAGAGTGGGACATACAACTCTGCTCGGCGAAAGTATCCCAATCATGTCCTACGACCGTCAAATACGGGCCTTTCCCCAGATAGCCTTCTAGCCTCGGCGCATCAGACGCCGGCAGCAATTGGGCTAGATTCCTCCGGCTCAAACCCTCCATGCTGGGCACCTCGGGTCCAAACATACTCGCATATCTTCTCCTCGTCTCACGTACTTCGGCTTCGCTCACACCATCGGGTAGTGTGTGTTTGTTGAAATCAGGAGCATCGGGATCGGGCCATAGGGACAACGAGTCTGAATTGGCCATGATGCTGTCGAGAAACAAGAGGCCAGAGACAGTGCCTGGGTACATTTGTGTAAAGATACGAGCAATGGCGCAGCCGATGCTGTTGCAGACGAAGATGAGACAGGGGTAATGCGTGGGTTTGGCGTGGTCGAGGTGGTCGCGCCAGATTTGGACGGTGAATTGCTTGAGCGCCTTGACGGCGGAGACGACATCATGGCCATGTGAGGGAGGAGGTTCCTTGTCGTCTGGATCGCGGTCGCTTTTACCTTGTCCATAACGGTCGTAGGATACAATGGCTGGGTAGGGCAGTCGGCCTACTATACGTTTTTCAAGAAAGCTTCGAATGGTCGGGTCCCAGGACTCGCGCGTGGGCATGCCATTGAGGAAGACGATGAGGGTTTGAGAAAAGGGGTTGGGATGTGAGGGTTGTGAGGTTGAGGCTGGATAGTATGTGTAGTGAATCTTTGCGCCCGGTTTGTTATCCAAGGTCAGATGGGATACTTCTGCTTCTGGGAAAGGAGGGAGATCTTCCTCGGAGGCATTAGTGCGTGGACATGGTATGGGGAACTTGTGGGGATTGCTGGAACGCATCTTGGCAGCGCATATGGGATCCATTTGTACCAGGTTGGTGGGAGGCGAGTTGGCTGCATTAGTAGCTGCAACCATGATTACGATTAGGATTATTTCTTTCCGTTTGTCGGCTGCGGCAGAAGGCGACGAGAAGGTGCAGATGTGGTTGAGATGAAGGACAAGGTTTATTTTGCAGTGGCTATGGTGAGAGCAGCATGTCCCATGAGTGCGGTGGACTGCTGTGCGTGCTGGGAGATGGTACTCCTGTAGTCCACCTGATGAGGAAGTTCGCGCGTACTATGGCACTAGAGCGGCAGAAGTTGGGATCCCCGGTTCTAGGTAGGGCGGGTATGTATACAGTATAGTCAATAGACGCAATGCATCGTAGACGAGCGAAAATGAAGAATAGACGCGGTGAAGAAATCGTGAGCCTCGGGACTCGTTGCAGCGAAATCTTGTCACCCCAGTCAGCTGTTCTACCCCTCTTTCTCTTCCGCACCGACGTCAAGGCGGCAGAGGGAAGCTCGGCGTTTGGGCAGGGTCCCGATTTCTGTTCGCCGGAATGGCGGGGAGCTGCCATGGAAGTATGCAAGACTTGTAGCTATCCTACTCTAGGTATGTACTATGTCACTAAACAAGTCAGCCGGGGCGCGAGTCAAATTTAGCTCAAAAGGATGATGAAGGGTGAAGAGCATGTATAAGATAAGACTGGCGCTGGTGACATGTAAGATAAGATAAAATAATCATAAGTCTGTTGCATTGGCTCTACATACCGCTTGACAGCCGTGGCACCATCGTGGCCGGCCATTCTTCGCAGCCAACATGTGCGAGCGCGTGAGAGCTAGGGGGCCGGGAGAAAGGGAGGGGGGCCCATGAATGATGAGGATCATGATGATCATGATGACATGGCAGGTCCACGGCCCAATGTCTACGCAGCGTGCATGGCCCAAGTGGCTTGGTGGTTTAGTGTATGCCTATGTGGCAGGGCAGGGCCGTGGCCGTGTTGGGATCAAGGCTTGGGAACAAAGCAGACGGCACAACGGTGGTGCATAAATCGGGGCTGTAGCCAGAAAGATGGGTAGTCTCTCCTGTTCATCGTTCATGGCTCATGGGTCATCGTTCATCGTTCATCGTTCTTTGCTTGTAGCTGGTTGGGCGGTAGTTTTAGGTTACCTAGCTAGGGTAGCGCCTATGTACTTTGGAGAGGAGAGGGAAGAGAAGAGGGGAAAGGGAAGAGGGGAAAGGGAAGAGGGGAAAGGGAAGAGGGGAAAGGGAAGAGGGGGAAAAGGGCTGGCCTGTGTGCGACGGCGGCGGCGGCCGGGGCGCCCGGGCTTGTGGTTCCGGCCGAGCGGCGGTGGAGACAGTCCAGCTTGTTCAGGAACCGAGCTGGCAACAGTCGTGACTTCCCCCCTCCCCAATCTGTCTGCAGCTGCCCGAGATGACGTATGCGCCTGCCTGCATCCCTCCCTCTCCCTCCCGCACGCACACACCCACACCCACACACACACACACATATATATATATACAAATAGACAGACTTGGGTGTTGCGTTGTCAATCCAACTAGATCGAAATGAGGGCTCCACGGGTAATAGACAGCTCTGATTGCTCACTGGCTTGCTTGCTTGCTTGCTTGCTTGCTTGCTTGGGCCAAGTAGTCACTGCAAGTACAGTACTTTAGCTGGGGGAGCGGGCAAGTAAGCCGCACACAAAGGCCCAAACACCTGTGCTCTTTCGTGTTCAATCTTCTCTCTCTCTTTCTCTCCCGCCAACAACCCACCATCACCGCCAGTAGTTCTACCTGCTACCATACTTTAGTAGATAGCTCAGCCTTCTCATCCATCTCTTGAAACACAAACCATACATCCCCGCCCCCACGCCCATACACAGACGCAGACACAAATTACATATCCACTCACCACACTGCTATTCACCATTCACCATTCACCATTCACCATTCAACATCTTTCGCTCTACAGATACATACCCATTCACCACCATACCTACACCATCATTCCCCAACTCTGCTTCCTACACACTCACAAGCCACGCCGTTCGTTCACTCCAAAGCCTGCGCTAGGTTAGTCACACCAGCCCTTGCAAGTGCCCTTCGCAGTCTACCTTGGTGTACCTACCAGTACCCTCTTCTATCCGATTGACAGACTTCTAGCGTGCATGCACATCCACTACCATGCCCTACGCCGACGCAAGCACACAGACAATATGGGCGGGCTTGACCAAGGGTGACTTGGTTCGTCCCGAGTTCCTCCTCACCCTCCCAGACACCACCACCCCGCCCGACGACATGTTGACCCAAAAATCACAGTCTGTCGTTGCCGTCCCCCGCTCATTGCGCCTGCAACCCAGACTTCCCTCGCTATGGGAGCGCCGGGGGAACCATCCAGTGCTCGCGCGCGGCATCCCCATGCCTCGCCCCTCGATAGCTTCCCGGCTCGGTGAAGAACTCACTGCCTCGCCGCCCCCGACCCACGCTGTCCTTTCCCCGCTCCCCGCTGCAAACAAGCTGTATGCTGGTCACACGCCTCTGATACCCGGCTCGCCGTCCCCCGAGGACGAGGACGAGGACGTCAAACCTCCCGTCGCCAGCGAATTGGTCGTCGAAGCCAACGACGACGCTGACATCAACGACCAGTCCACAACCCCGCAGCAGGACCCCTCGCTTGCCGGAGCCCTCTCCTTACCCACGCTTCCCACAAACCCCCTCGACGGCACAGAGGAGTTCATAGTACTCAACGACCTCGACCGCGCCCTCGAGGAAGTCGCACGAGACCAAGAGCGCTTCGCCAGACTCAAGGACGCACCCGATCACGCACCCTCATCCTCGTCAGCATCAGCATCACCACCGGCCTCGGCCTCAGCCTCAGCCTCAGCAGCAGAAACCTCCCCAGAACAAACAGAATCCACATCGAGCTCCGAACGCGTCACAGACGACGGCCTCTCCCTAAGCCGCAAGGGATCCGCAGACTCGCGCACCTCAAACGTCTCCTACGTTAATGGCGTACCGCTCAAGAGCCCTCCACTGAATTTTGGAGTCCCCATGGGCCAGTTGCAAAGAGACTAAACTCAAAAGCTTCTTTTACAGAAAGAATGATGCTCGAAAGGGGGCTCATAAAGATGAGCATGTCCAATGTCCAATGTCTACATTAGCGCCGCTTTGCACTGCTTGCATTTTCAAACCCCCTCCGCATCAACAGGATTTTGCATCACTCATCGCACAGAGTGGCGGCGTTTTTTTCCTTCTCTTTCTCTTTACTTTGTTTATTATTTTTCGGTTCTCTGGTCTTGGGTAGAGCAAGGGATAGGATAGGAAGGACAGCATGAACACAAACACGTACAGGTTCATGCGTGAAAAGCAAAAGCAACACCTTTTGTAGATGGGAGAAAAATTGCATCAAGGGAATGGGTCGGCCAGATTTAGATAGATACCCGAAAGAAGAGCATGGGATTGAGGACAAATCGAATCGCTGGGATGGTTATTTTTTTTTGGAGGAGCAGGGCTATAGAGTATCGGTCTTGCGGCTTTGGTGGTGGGAGTTCTATGGGTGAGAGAGAGAGAGAGAGAGGCAGTGTGTATGCCATGATAGCACCTGCAGTCAGTTAATTGTGACAAGTGGACTCTGCTACAAAGGGGCAGGCTTCACGTCCCGTCTAAAGAAAAAGAGGGGAAGAATTCCAAGACTGTGAGGATTTACAAATCATGACCTCGTATTGTCATTGATTCATGCATATTCATTATACACAACACGACTTCTCCCCTCGTCCACCCATCTACTCTTCCTCCCACTCTCTCTAATCGTCCTGGTCCCAATTGCCCTGCTGGGCCTTACCCGGCATCTTGGGCCCACCAGCCTGCCTAGCCACAATGATTTGATCGACGCTCAACACCGTTCTCGCCGCCTCCGTGGCCAGCTTGATAGCCCAGCTCTTGCTGACCCAGAGATCGAGGATGCCCTCGGCCTTTGCATCCAGCGTGCCCGTCCCGTCCTCGTTTTCAATATCCACGCCAACCGTCCACTCGTCGTCCTTGCGGCCCTTTTGCGCCGCGTGGGCAACGTACAGCCGCGCCAGAACTTCGGTGGCGTCGAGGCCGGCCGACTCGGCAAGCGTCCTTGGAATCACCTCGAATGCTTCTGCGTACTTGCGAATCGAGTATTGTGCGAGGCCAGAGGTGCGGTCGGCAATCGCCTTGACCCTCTCAATCAGCTGCATTTCCGTAGCACCGGCGCCAGGCACCAGTCTGGGGTCGCGAGTAATGGCCTTGACCACGTTGACACCATCATCAACGGCGCGCTCCACATCGTCCAGGTGGTTCTGTGTGGCGCCACGTAGAACAAGCGTCGCCGTCCGCGTTTGCTCGTTCTCTTGTCTGAACACCGTCACACGGTCGCCACCAATCTCCAGCGTCTCGACAATGTCAATGGAACCCATCTCGTCCGGCATCGGAGCACCGAGACGAGCGAGCGGTGTAGCGCCAACAACGCGGCATAGCCGGCGAAGCTCGAATTTGGAGAGAACCTTGATGACCAGGATATTGTAGCGGTTCAGGTAGTGTTGTGCCAGCTCTCCGATTGTCGATCCAGCAACCACGACTCTCATACCAGAGTCGTGGAGCTCCTTGATAATCTGTTCCACCTGGTTCTCCTCACCTTTTGTAAAGTCCATCATCTCCTTTGCATTGTGCAGGAGCACCGTGCCTTTGGTCTCGGTCTGCGAAATGTCCACTGGACATGAGAAAACTCCGACCTTGGCCTTGGTTGCTTTTGTGACGGTTCCTTCTGGTTGCCTTGCAAAGACCATACCCTTGACAACTTTGCTCTGTGCGAGGCTACCGCCCATGATCTTGACCACACGGACATTGTCGACGTTGAAGTTGACGGGATTCTTGGGGAGGACGGCAAGCACGGCTTCGGCGACGAGGTCCGCGAGGAATTCTTCGTTACCAGACTGCTTGGCTGCGACAACAGTGCGGATCGCTTTGCTGAGCTCCTGTTGTGATCTGATGTCTGCAACCTTGTCGCATACCAGCTCTGCACCATTGTTAGACATCGTGATAACATCGCCGGTCATCATAGAGTTTCATACCTTCCAGAGTCTGCAGGGCCGCATTCTGTGCCTTTTCGTATCCCAGAACAATATCGCTGGTCTTTAAGCCCATACGGATCAGCTCCTCGGCTTTCTTCAGCAGCTCGCCAGCTAGAACAATGACCAGGTTTGTAGCATCGCCCATTTCTGCCTCTTGTTGCTGACTGGCCATGACAACCAACTTTGCCGCGGGGTGAACGACTTCGAGTTCTCGCAGTATCGTCGCAGCGTCTGATGTGAGGATCATCTTCTGGAGGTGATTGATGACAATCTTGTTGCGACCATAAGGTCCCAGAGAGGTCTGGACAGTCTGGGCAATGGTACGGCAGGCGTCGATGTTGCGAATAACCGCGCCATCTTCAGCATCGTAGCTGTTGTCGACGTGGGGTGGTTAGTATATACATGAAGTTGGCGGGGTAAAAGAAGGCCTACTTTTGATATCCGCCCTTGAAGAGCCCGGCGTTGGGAGCGTTGGGTATTGAGAGAGACATGTTGTGGCCGTATGTGAGGGGTATCTCTTGGGGGGTTGTACTGTGCCTGTAACTGCGGGACGCGTTTACTAAATTTCGTGTACGTGCCAAGACAAGATCGGCAGAAGTAGCAACCGACCGGATTCACCATCTCCCAATATCTTGAGGCGAATTTTCAGCATTATCTAGAATGGAAGTCGGATGTAGTATCGTTCAAGAGCTACATCCGACTTCAGAGGGCATGTCCCCTTGTGGCATCAAGCTCATCGAGCTCCAGTGATGGCTCGACGAGGATTACAGGACTGCTATTTCAAGTATCCATCAGATTGAAGCCTTAGCATCACCCTACGACGGGCATCAAACTCGGAGTACATGGGTTTCAAATTCTCGTAGCCTGATAAGCCTGCCTACCAGGGAAAGAGCTCCTGTTCACACCTGTCACGAGTCACGACGCCCCAATCCTCCAGGCAAAATGCACATTCTGAGAGACAATGCCTTGGAGTGCAGCATGTGAGCAAAATCTATCTAGCCATACACCTTAGGATTTGTGAAGGTACCGCTAGCGAAAAAGACTGCTCGAATTCCTCTGGGCACCAGTATAATGGCCAATAGCTCATGACAGTGCGAGGTTACTGGAGATAAGGAAGGTGCCGTGAAGAAGAAGAGAAGCGCTGAAGCATGGCGCGCAAGAAGTTTTGTTCAACCCATGACTTACATAAGCACAGACTAGTCCCAATGCACTTCCGCTCCCCGAAATTCTTCTGCGACTTCAACATGGGAAGAAGGCCGACTTGGACGATTCTCGCTGCCCAGGAATCATGAACGCGGGACAGCAGACGACGAGACGGCTGGCTGCGAGAGCAGGTGAGATTGTCAATTGCAACTTGGTGGCGAATGGAATTTTGGCTGACCAAGCAAAGGCTCGTCGATATGCCACTCTTGTAGAGCATCGGTCCCGCGCAACACGTACGCAACGGCCGCTGCAACTGCAGTCCAAACCGAGGATCCATTCAGCCAGCATGTACCGCCAGTTGCCCATCCATCTACAGCCTATGCCGTCAATGCCGGTGTTGTTCTCTCCCGCCCCCCACAAATAACACGCGACCTCCACCCATTCGAAGCCGCCTTTTTTCTCTATCAGCGTCGATTGAACGAGCGTCTTGCCCTGCCTTTCACACGATATTTCTACTTCAAGAAGCGGACCCCTGCCGACCTCGAATGGAAACGGAAGATGCGGCAGCGTCTCACCCCCGCCCGCGACATCGGACGGTACAAGGGCTACGGCGATGAAGCGTGGAACGATGAAGTATTGGTTGGAGCAAAAGAAAGCGATTTTGAGTGGCAAGTGGGCAGTTTGATTGAAGATGCGGAGAACTCTGGCGCAGAGGGCGCCCCTGCAGCCACAGGTGCGGCTGCGAAGAAGGTGGACCGCGAGCCGGTCGACAAGCCTATGCCACGAGTCACTGTAGCGGATGAGAAGAACGACACAAAGAGTCTAAATCGTGCACTACAGAGGACGTTGTATCTGTTGGTCAAGAACAAAGAGGGGCAATGGCAGTTTCCTCAGGACAAGCTGTTGGAGGAGCATCTTCATGGTGTATGTTGAGCCCGCCGCTGGCTGATATAATTGGGCAATGCTGATCTGTTATAGGCCGCTAACCGTATCCTCACTCAAGCCGCTGGACCAAATATGAACACATGGGTAGTTGGACATGTACCAATCGGTCAGCATCAGCTCGAGTACCCTGAGCCAAAAGCAATGGGTAGCCTCAAGGAATATGGCGCAAAGACCTTCTTCATGAAGGCACGTATCATGGCCGGACAGGCTGACCTCAAGGATAATAAGTTTGGTCTCCAAGATTTCAAGTGGCTTGCGAAGGAAGAGTTACAGAAAGAGGTAGATGACCGTTACTGGAAGTCGGTCAAGAACATGCTGGCCGAGCGGTGATGAAACCTTAATCAATCCGCAGCCTACTTTACGTTACCCATCATCATATGTGTGTGACATAGGGATGTCCAGGTCATGTAGAATTATGTACAGTATCCGTGACGAATAACACGAAGACTTGCAAATCGATTTTTGATAATTTATTCCTCCCACAAGCGATCGATCGAGGCGATGCATGACCTGATGTTGCGATTCCACTTAGAGAACTGCTGCCACTTCAAAATATTTTGGAGAAAGGTATCACTCACTTACACCCCATCCATGCAGAATTATCAGACTGTCCATAGCGCCGGATGTGGATCCAACTGGCAACTGGTCGTAAGTATCCATACTTCCTTGACAGGTCATATTTTCATCCCCTCCATTCCACTGCGCGTCGACACATCATCTGCCCCAAACGCTTAGATCTCTTACACTTTCCCAACAACGCGTCAAAGTGTATCACTACAGTCCAAGATTATTTCGGGTAGAGGGGCGGTCTAGGTGCTTTATGGACAGGGTAAAGGTTGCAAGAATATGACTATGCTGTTCGTGTAGAGTTACTGTAGGTATTTACTGATATGTGGTAGGTTAGGATGATTGGTATTATAGTGTGGAATCATAGAGATTAAAGCAGTGGAGGTATTCAACTACCTAATCAACAATTCTATTAACTATTTCGCGGATGAATGGCCCTAGTACCTACCTGCTGAACAATTGAAATGCTAAATTCGAAGTCTAGATGGCTCTACAGTAAGAATATCCAACTACGGCTGATGCATGCCCACGTTCTCTGGGCATGCTGTGGTACGGTAATTAGTACTCTGAATAAGCTCTTCAAGACGTCCAAAGGACTCTCAATTCATTGCAGGTTATTTAGAAGTGGCTAATAGTAAGGCAGGCATTAGTAAAGTCATCTTGACAGAAAATGAAGGTGCTCTGCATCCACTGATCCGGCGATTGGCCACACACGTTTGCGAGGCAGTTGCTGGCTTCCTGCCCGAGTTCACCCTCCTCCACCGCACCCGTCAATATGGAACAAGCCAACCGAGTGCTGGTGCCAACTCTACCTACAGGCGTGCCTAACACATATGCCGCTTGATCGGAATATAGCAACGTTCCTCAACGTTGCTGTCTCCACACTCGTCCATTCCTGTTTTCAGTCAAGTTAACGCTTGACGAGATTGTTAGCTGCCCAGTGCCTAGGGACTCCAAGTGAGATTGTTTCAGGAAATCCGAAAGTCTCCAGATGATGCGGAGTATACTCTTGGTAAGTTGACTCGTTGGAAGTAAAAGATTCCAGATCGGACTAGGTACATGTCTTAGCGGAGCGCTAGTGATGAATAGGTGATTCAATAGGTACGGGAAAGTCTGCAAAGGCTGTAGGCTTTGACGGCGCGTTTTAACGTCTCATATGTCGTCGACCTCATCAGCTTGGTATCACTTATCACACTTCCTTTACTTGCATTTTCTAGCAATGACCCTTGGTCGAAGCGTGTCAAATATCGCAAAGCAGCACTACTTTCGCTTACTACACACTTTAAAGTGTAGCAGTGCAATGCCCTCCCATTCTCAAATCGACATGGATCCCTTGTTCTGCTACACCAGTGGACGATGGCTATGGAACGAGCGTGAGCAACTAGAAGCTCGATATCGCCATTTTGACGTGCCCAGCCTTCAGCAAGCGGCTTGCCAAGCTGTCGGTGCAAACGAGTGTATATCTTTCAAGAAGATCGGCGAAGGCAACCACAACAAAGCATATCGTCTAGAGATGGAAGACGGCCAAAAGGTCATCGCAAAAGTCCCCCACCCTAATGCTGGCCCACGAGTACTTACTACTGCATCGGAAGTGGCAACGATGGAATTTGCCCGAACCGTATTGAACATACCTGTCCCACGAGTACTTGCTTGGAATGCTACCGACCAGAACCCTGTCCAAGCAGAATATATTATCATGGAAGAAGCGAGAGGCTCCCAACTCCACGAGATCTGGCAGGATCTTTCACTGCGAAGGAAATCTGAAATCATTTGAGAGTTTGTAGAAGTTGAAAGGAAATTACTCTCAGTCTCCTTTGAAAAGTAGGATCCAACTTGCTCCTATAGAGAATTTGTGGCTGGTCTGACTTACACACAATGGCAGATTGGGATCTTTGTATTTTAAAGAGAGTGGTATCGCCGCATGCGAGCCGGCCATCGTTACAGCTAGTCCGCAAGACATCGTCGGACACGTTGAATCAACTTATTGCATTGGGCCCATCACTCGAAGGGAGTCCTGGGAGAAGGAGCGCAGTGACATGCAATATCATGGTCCCTGTAAGTTTCTGTATGCCTATAAAAACTGATTCTAGACTTACAACCATTGTAGGAACATCTTCTGTAGAATACCTCAAGTCTGTCGCTCGCCGTGAGATCGACTGGATCAACGCCTATGCGGACCCACAGGAGCCGAACAAAACTCCATGGCAATACACGAGTCCACAGCAGAAGTCCCCAAAGGCTCACACAGATCTGTTGGAGAAGTTTCTAGCCACAATTCCGTACATCACTCCCAAAGACCCAGAGCTTGCCTCTCCTACACTTTGGCACCCAGAATTCCATGCTGGAAACATTTATATCGATGAACAAGCCCGGATATCATGCATCATTGATTGGCAGGGGGCCTGGGCTGGCCCGGTATTCATCGGAGCCAATCCCCCAATGCAACTAGACTACGGGGTTGAAATGTTGATGAAGCTCCCTGAAAACTTCAAAGCACTTGACGATGCTACAAAAGATGAGCTCAGATACCAAGTGTCTCAGTCTGTCTTAATTCACACGTACGAAACTGCTACGGCAGAGAAGAACCCTCTGATGTACAAGGTTATGCGACACCCCCATGGTCAGACCCTCAAGCAATTAGATGCTTTTGTTGGCTCTACCTGGAACAACTGTCTCTTCCCCTTTGAAGAGTGTTTGATTCGCGTAGAGAGGTGTGTTGATCTGTCCCACTAAGTTACCTAATTGACCATTTTTGCAGTGAGTGGGATCACTTTGGTACTAACGAGCCTTGTCCGTACCATTTCTCAGCAGGGGAAATACGGCAACACTACGAAGAGGCGGAGTCTTTCAACAAGAGCCAGGAACTCTGGAAAGATTTACGTGGTATCTTGACTGATGAAGGTTATACGTCGAAGGAAAGTTTTAGCAAAGCTGTCAAAATACTCAGAGATTTACGGGATGTCGGGCTAGGTGACCTGAAGGGCGAGGAACGACGCAACTTCGACAAAGAAACACGATGGGTCGCAGATCTCCATGAACATAGCATCTGACACTTGCATAACCTCGAAAGAAGATTTACAGACAGAGAACGGTATCAAAAGTGATGCCAGAACAGTTATCAATCACCCATGTGGCCTCAGGAGGATCGATACCTAGGAAGAGCCGACAACGTCACTCCTATTGGGTTCAGATAGTACGTCGATTGCTTTACGATGAAGAATAGAGAGAAGCTGAGGAGAGCTCGAGAAAAAATTGATGCTGCGTGTGCAAATGGCGCATTGATATCCGTTGCCCATCATAGCTAAGCGATCAAACCCACCGATCTGGCCGCCGTGCTCAAGAATCTGTTCATCTTCTCAGCCCCTTCGCCATACCGATCCCATGCTATTTGCCAACTTAAGCTATCAATCTGGCTGGAAATCTGATACCAAATAGATGGGCGCGTTGGCTGCGATCCAGCCGTCGTACACCACTTCAAACCAGTCTTCGGCGAAGATGCTGCTACGTTTCGACCGGAGCGTTGGCTCGAAGCTTGCTCAAATTGATGCAAAAGTGTATGATGCATCGTGGTGCTGAAGGCAGTTGATGTGCAGGGCAGAATGGGAGTTCTGCGGAGCTTGTTCTTGCTTTGTTTGCATAAAGAGTGTGCTGATACGTGTGAATTGCTATGACGGAGATCATGAAGATTGTACCAGAAGATTTATGGAGGCCTGAGTTTGGAATGACGTATAATGAGGGATGGAAGACGCATACTGCCTTCAGTGTTCATGTAAGCATGATTTGTCCTTTCAACATCGCTTTCGTTGGTTGACAATGATAGGCATTGTGTAAGGCGCAGCTGCACGTAGGACATGGGCAAGCATCGGCAATACGATGATATGTAGCATTGGTACTCGTGTTAATCTATATCCATATATTGTGTGTATACTCCCTGCCCTGACACTTGTATCAAGTTGATGCATGCTGTAGAGTACTGTACCGGTATTGCCCTAATCAGCTAGTATACACATTTGCGGGGCATTTGCGTCATTCCCGAGTCAGTACCATCATTGGTGGGGTGATGCAGGGTCACTGTAGGATGTACTCCTACCTCTATGAGGACGGTTGAAGGGCAACACGCTGATGCTTCCAATAGGGATTTACTTTCACTAAGTAGCAGCTGTGGGATGCCGAGCTCGACTTGGACAAAAATAGCATGATTCCTGAGTCTCATGCAATACCGTCGGCTCTCGGCTCGACCTGTACTAAATCCTACCGGTAGCTAAATTGGCACCGTGATCCGTTGCGTAGTCGACCGAGTATGATCATCGATGTCATTATGGTCCAAAGCTGTTTGCGATCGCAATGTGCAGATTTGACGGTGTATGGTATACGAAGGGCGACTAGCCTTGATAACAAAGCAACTATTACCGTAGAAGTCCAACTTCTTGGCCTTCAGCCCTGTGACTGTTTAACGCAGCGAGGTTACCATAATCAATCTAGCACGAGGTTTGACGCGTAAGAGCTTGAACAGTGCTGGAACGAGAGAAGAGGCTTCGTGACTCAGCGCTAATTCCACACCCGTCCCTCGGCCTACCTTTCCCCGCGATTGCGTAGTTCGACAATCTCTAAGACTACTTGCAAACTCTCAAACGGAACGCATTTTATAACTTTTCGAAGTCATGTCCAACCAAGCAGCATGGATCACGGAGCCAAAGGGCAAGCCGCTTCAGGTTAAAGAAGCACCTATGCCGAAGGCAGGCAAGGGCGAGGTTGTGATCAAGAATCATGCTGCCGCTGTCAATCCAGTAGACTGTATGTTTGCTTGCCGATTCGATTTGAAGTTCGCTTAGAACGTTTCAGGGAAGGTACAGGATTATGCCATTCTCCTGCAGAAGTATCCCAACGTATGTGGTACGGATGTAGCTGGCGAAGTATATGAGGTTGGCGAGGGTGTCACAGAGTTCAAGAAGGGTGATCGTGTCATGGCGTATGTTGTCCTCCTTGCTACCATCTTTGGGTGAGAATGTCACGACTAAAACGCAGTGGATAGACATGCGTTCTCCTACCTTACCAACGAACCAACCAACGGCGGTTTCGCGCTGTACACTGCTTGCAACACGACTGTCGTGTCGAAGATCCCTTCGACGCTGGACTACAACTCCGCAGCCGTGCTCCCACTGGCGATCTCTACAGCATCAGCCTGCCTCTTCAAGAATGAGACCTTGGCACTGCCACTTCCCACCTCAAACCCGTTATCGACAGGGAAATCAGTCCTGGTCTGGGGTGGCTCGAGTAGCGTTGGGGCGGCTGCGATTCAGCTTGCTGCTGCCGCTGGTATCAAGGTCGTCTCTGTCGCCAGCAAACACAATGTAGAGAAAGTCAAGAGCCTAGGGGCTGCAGCAGTTTTCGACTACAACTCAAGCAGTGTAACAGAGGATATTCTCTCTGCGCTGGAAGGAACCGAGTATGCTGGTGTCTGCGACGCCATTGGAACCCAAGGGGCGGTCGAAGCCTGGGCTCCAATCTACAAGAAGCTGGGCGGCCGCTATGGCACCGTCTTGCCAGATGCGCAGGGTCTGCTCGAGGGCATTCAAGGCGACGCAGTGGCCGCTATTAGCATTGCGTACGCTGACAAGTTCATTGGCGATGGTGTCTGGGGCAAATGGGTACCTGGAGCTCTCGAGGCCGGCAATTTGAAGGCTCTGCCACCACCAATTGTGATCAAGGGCGGATTGGATGCTGTGCAGAAGGGCTATGATGCCCAGAAGAAGGGTGTCAGTTTTGGCAAGATTGTGATTGAGCTGTAGACGAGGGTGCTACATTGACATCGGCCAATACGAAGAGCACGACAAAATGACTCAAGGCCAATAATAGTACAAACCAAACATACCAGATTATCATTGTACAAGCACATACATATGCAGAAGCATGGGACTCGCCAGATCTAAAGATTCTAGCATCATCGACTCGTTGAGCGCACAGAGCAACGGCCCCAGCCGGGCCCACGCTTGTATCTAGACACCGGCCAAATGTACCGCCGGACCCACTAAAAAGTTCAGTCTTCAACTTCTTCCTCTCTCAACTCTTCTTCCTACAAACTTCTGCCTCGCGGATTGTCGCACTCATTGTGTGCTTGCGCGATGCCATCCTGATCCACTATAGCTAACCAGCCGCCGGCCTCGTAGCCATTCCATACTGTAAGTCTCACCACGACTTCCCATTACTTCTTCCCAGCAACATGATGAAACATTTCCTACATTCGCAGTTTCCACGCTAGCCATCAACCTGAACCTTAGACCGATGGACAATGAGCGCGAATACCTTCCTTGGATGTCTGATTGCTTTACATGTCACAGTCTTGCTATTGCAATGTCTTGAATAGCTTGTGCTGACTACCATAGGTTCTCTATGGATCGAACAGATGGACTGCCAATTGACCAGTCCGGTGTAATTCGTCGATTCGAAATACTCATTCATATCTGCTTGGTTTTTCATGGTGCATCTACCCAATCAGCCTATACCTCGCATTGTGCCATCATGTTGCGATAGCTATGGACCGTCGCGCGGCCTGCGTCCCGCAAGGCAAACTTCACTAGGATTTGTCTTTGAGGACGCACAACGTACTAGCATACTATCTGTCACACAGCTCGTGAGACTTCCATAGGGATATATGCTCAAGTAATTATAATTGTTCATTTTCAACTCTCATAGTACAATTAATTCCAAGACTACTCCGAGCGCTAAAATGTCATACCAGGTTGATTGCTCTCAATCATATCTTGCTACCATACTTCTCTGCTACTACATCACCTCCATCTCTTGGTAATCTTTCACTAACACCGCCGCGGTATCATTTGCGTATGCATCCTTCCCGGGCTGCTTAGAGCAGGAAGAAAGTGAACATGCCAGTGAGACCGGCGAAGGCTACGCTGCCGGAGAGGTGGGATGCGGCACCGGTGGAAGGGCTGGGGCTTGAACCAGTGCCAGTGCCAGTGCCAGTACCAGTACCAGTACCGGCGGTAGCGTTCTGGGTGAGGTTGCCACCAGTACCAGCAACGGATGTGGGGGAGATGTTGCTTTGAGCGTTGGCAGAAGCTTCTTTCCACGCTTCGAGGGTTCTTGGGCCGGATTGACTAGTATTGTTAGTGATCCACCATCCATGCATGAGGATAGGCTGCTTACGGTGGGTTGATCACGCCGACCATGCCAGCCTGGCAATGCTGACCCTGGGTGCAGTAGAACCAGATAGGTTGTGAGGCGTTGGTGACTTCATATGTGAAGGTCCAGTTGGCGGCTGCATTGGCATCCATTGTGGGCACGAAACCTGACCAGAAGCCATTGTTCATGGGTGCGCACGGACGGTTGAAAGCAGCTTGGGCGACACTGTGATTTTTTGGCCAGAATTTAAAATGAACGAGGTCGCCCTCAGCAGCAGTAATGCTTTCAGGGTCGAAGGCAAGATCGCCTTTCTTGGTGCCAACAGCAACCATATGGTCGGCAGCGTAAGTGGTGCCAGCAAGGGCGGTAGCAGCGATGGTGAAGAAACGCATTATGATTGGTTGGGTGAAAAGAGACTAGCTCGATTTAGTAATTAAGATTTGACGAAGAAGTGAAAGGTAGATCTTTGGAGTCGAATTGTGTATGAGCGTTGAAAGAACAGTGGACCGGCCTACAGAATCTTCTGCAGTTGAGAAGATTTGAGTCCATTATATACCATGTAGATTGAAACAGTAATCGCCGGCCAGGTGGTGTCCAAGGTGGAAGACTCGGCCTGCTCAGGCCATGGCGGAACAAGTTCGAGACTTCAGGCGTCGCGAAAGGCACGAAGAGGTTGCCGCCAGGCACCCTTTGGTTTATACCGCAAAGAAACATGGAGCAGGCATGGAGCGTCCTGTCATTGGACCCCTTCGCCACACGCACTCGATTTCAGCCACGGTCTACTCGCGCCGCATCCTGTTGTGGCCGAGGACCGTAGTCGCGCTGTTTGAGAGGTGGGGAGGCAAAGGGCGTCGTGGACGTATCCCTTGGGCGCGATTGTGTTTCCGAAAGGGATGAAACTCGGGCACAGGTGTTGATGGGACGTGAGATGTTTTGGATGAGCGCACGGACACTTTTCTTTCCCCAGGCGAACCTACTCCGTAGTGGTAGCCAGATGGCCTCGGGACCCCACCGTTGTGACAGCAAATACTCATCGTCAAGACAGCTCAGGAGCCAGTACTCCCACGTTTGTAGAGACGTGCCATGTATAGGTGGGCGCCTATGTGTTGTAAGTATAGGTACCGGTAAGTACTTGTGCATTGCCATGTCAACTGTAGATCAAGGCCGTTGCCATCTACGGTACGTATGCCCTGCCATTCGAGCCACGAACTCAGACATGTAGCGATGGAGAAACTCCATTGTCTTTCAGCGTGTCGAATGCTTGATCCTTTAGTCAACGCTGGGGCGGGCCGGCAAGATGGATAGTTACAGAGTCATGGGCACCCTTTCTAGACCCGTTGAGACCGAAGCCCTGTGCTTTGCTCATACCATACGCAACTAGATCCTTTGATCACGGGAAGAGTAGCTTTCACTTCCAAACCCTCAGAATAATGGACAAGTGCGTACGGATGCCACAACTCAAAGAAGATCCAACATGGGGCGGTCTTGTTTCGGATGTTAGGTCGCCTTTTGTAAACGTTTGTACGTTCTCCGAGTTTACCAGCGGGACCGTCAATTGCGGATCTCAAAGGATGGACCACATCAGAGCGATAGATTGAGTACATGCATACTACCTTACTGTTATAGTCGCTATCATCGTACTCACAGGATATTGTATAGAGTAATTCTACCAGCCGTGCATGACCAGAGGGCAACATGCACGTAGGTCATTAGATCGGTTAGGCACATTTTCTTTTTGATCCGACGTTGCATCGCTCGTGTCTGCACCTCTCTCGCCGTCGATTCCACAGCCCGAGATTGTGGAAGCATTCTTCCATGCGTTTCTTCGATAATCAAATATCTCTCCGGTTGTCGCGGATAGCTGGGTTTGCCTTTATTGATCGCCGCGAGCGACTGCCGAAAGAGGGTGGCGCGATGTAACCAACGACTATCCGCAGACAATTCCCTCGCTTGACCCACCCAATTTGGCCAAAGGCAAGCCCTTCGCGGTTCTTGACACTCTAAAAATACACCTTTGACATGTCCGGATCTCGTGTCTCCTCGACGCTATGAGCTCATCCACTTCACCATACAGCCGACAGAACCATCTCGTGGTCATCTGGCCTCGCGGTTTCCAGCTAGGCTTATGGAAATGGGCAGATGCCAGCGATGGATCCCCTCACATCACGCTCGATGGTTGCTAAGTATGCACGAAGCTATGACGGAAGCAAAGAATGAAGCAGTGGAGGTGATACGAGGTGCTCCGCTCCTCACAATGGGTATAAGAAAGGTGGTGACCCCAAGCTACAATCACCATCATCAACTCAGGTCAACCGCCTTTGTACTCAAACTCCAGTCCTCACCGGCAAACCACAACCACCCACGCAACTCCAGCCTCCAGCTCCAGCCGTCATCATGAAGTTCTCCCTCGCAACCTTTGGCCTTGCTAGCCTTGTTGCCTCCGCGGCTGCCATGTCGGGTTAGTACCTACTATTGTAGAATACGGTACTTGAACGAGTGCATATACTAAACCTGAGCAGTCAGCTACGACACCGGCTACGATGACCCCAACCGCTCAATGGGTGTCGTCTCCTGTTCAGATGGCCCGAATGGTTTGATGCACAGATTCCCCACACAAGGCGCCATCCCCAACTTCCCTCGCATTGGTGGTCTCTCAGGCATTGCATGGAACTCGGCCCAGGTAAACAACTTCCCCCATTATGCGCAAATCAGACCCAACAGCGACTAACAAATGCGCCCCCCCCCCAAAAAAAAGTGCGGTTCCTGCCACAAGATTACCTACAACGGCAAGAGCATCTTCGTCGTGGCCATTGACAGTTCTAGCACTGGCTTCAACATTGGACTCACAGCAATGAACGAACTCACAAACAACCAGGCTACCTCACTCGGACGCATTGAAGCTGAAGTCACTAATGCCTCTCCATCTGACTGCCGAATGTAGACAGGCCTTCGTTGGATGAGCCAAACATACGCCATCGACTCTCGAGAGCACGCAGACGAACGAGGTTTCTGTATATATTTGCCGATGTATAGCGTCGGGCACGGGGTTTTGTGCCGTGGTCTAGGACACTCCTTAATGTAGTAATGTTTTTTAATCGACTCGTCAGTCAATCCCATTTTGTGTACGCTGAGTGATGCCCACTTCATTGCATGGTGCATTCACGTGTTTGTTACAACCACATGACATCTCTCGAAAGCTATAAAGATCTGGCTTCTACACCCTTGCCCAACCCCCACCCACTCGACATTACACTCTACATCCTCCACAACCCCAAACATTTCCTCACCTAGGTACGTGGCGCGACGAGCCCATCCACGGAGTCATCTCCTCGTCGGATTGGTAACGCGGGTTTTGCTTAGGCCCTGGGGCACAGGGACAACCCAAGTGTAGTGTTCTGGGTACAATAAGAGGGTGAGAATGACGTACAGCGGTGTGGATGTGACTGGGTAGATCGGGTGTTGGAAGAATGTACCTGCTTAGGTTGGGTTGGCTTGTAAAAATGGCGGGAGGAGGGGGGCAGCATGTAGGTCATGTCACGGCTGTATAGTACCGCTCATGTAATACCAGGCAAGCGCCGTAGGGATGCTGACGTGTGTTACAGTCTACAGGATGTAAACTCAACATTTGGGACCGAGTGTGCTAGCGTCACATGGTCATCGGCGGTTTTGTGGGAGACACGGCAAGCAAGATAGATGGAAGTAGAGGGAGTGGGTTTTCTAGCATGCTGCTCAGGATTTCTTGCATCAGAAAGAAAGACGAGCCCACATACTAAAATAAAAAGTCAGGTTTCATTGAAAACTTGGTTTTGTCAACGACCTTTCTTGAGATCGTTTGATCTGGTATATAACTATTTGTGTGCGACTGAAGCCCACATCGGCCAGCGCGAATCCATAGAACTTTTTCAGAAGGAAAAAAAAATGTAGAGGAAAATTGGGAGTCGGAGTGACTCCGAGCTACGCCTGCATAGCTAGATGCCATAATGTGTGCTGATTAGACAAAACTCTTGACACCGCTGTGAGGGTGGAGTACTAGAAGAAAAGAAGGAAAAATAAAAGCCAAACATCAGCGGGGTGTGGAGTTCAACAGTTGTCCAAGACTCCCGCTCGCGGTAGAGGGCGAAGGGACGGGTGATTTGGCGTAGACGATCTCGCCCTCAATGGTACTCGTCGAAGTCTTCATAATGGGCGGGGTCTTGTGCGTGTACTGTTTCGGACTTGACGGGGCAGTCAAAGGAGTGACGAGGTCTATTGATTTGGCGCCATAGGATGAATTATGCGGATTTGTCCTGGGTGGAAGCGGTCGGAAGTTGGCCGGAGTATACGGCAGTGAGTAGCTGACGGATGAGGTCGGCGTATGTGAGAGGGAAGGCGCGACCGGGAAACTGATCTGGGAAGCAGAGGCACGGTTGTAGCGGGGCCGACAAGGCCTAACGGTCTCACTAGTGTGATTTATTGACTGGAACTTGCGAAGGTATCGGGAAGCTTCTGAGTTTGATCGCAGTGACTTCTCGTTGTCCGAGTGTAAGTTGTCATCCGATGAGATGTCAGAGAAGGCCATGGACGATCGTTTCGAATCCGACTGTGTAGGAGAGCGCTGAGGGACAATGTCACGGAAGGTCAAGTCTTCAAAGGAGTATGTGCCAAAGGGTGTCATGGGCGGTGAGTAGTAGTCGCAGGAGTAGGTAAGACTCTTCTCGGCGTCCGTCTTACGACAGCTGCATGCAAGTCAGACAAGATCTCAGGGAAAGGAGAATGACGCGGCCATCCTACCTTTCCGAGCAGTAGAGCACCGTGTTACTTGGTACAATGATTTGCTTTTCGCAGACCGTGCTAGAGGACGACGTTAGTATTCGGTTGGGTTTACGACCAGGATGTCGAGTCCTCATGTGCACATACCAGTAGTTGAGGAAGCTCACTGCCATTGAGTCCTCTTCGTCGTTTGCAACCTCAAGATCCCTACTATGAGCGGCCTTGTGACTGCTCTTGTTGTAGGAAAGCGATCTTTTTGAGAGAGGCGCAGGCTTCGACGGCCGTGCGTGCGCTGGCACCGGCTTTTTGGAATGGTGCGAAGGATGGCGAGCGTGATGGGTAGCCATTCTGGGCAGGTGGGTGGATTTAAAGGGCCCACGAAAATAATCGCGCACGGAGCGCAATGGGCAGCAACCTTTTTTTTTTTGATACGGCTGAAGCAGATGGGAAGTAGCGGTGACACAGCCTCGTTCACTTGGTAGACGAGTGCCAGGTGCCAGGTAGGTAGAGATATGACGAGAGAGAGAGAGAGAGAGAGGACGTGCACTCTTCTTTGATATTTCCTTATCTGCTCGGCGCTGCAGCCAACAGATTAGCCAGGAACACGACGTCGGGGGGGGGGGGTGAGCTTGGGCAAAGGGCAGCCGCAACGACGAATCGTGTACCAAAGGAGGGAGATACAGGAATGAGAGAAATGAGGGCAAACTTACTTGTATACCCAACAAGGAACGTGCAACGTCGGAAGGGAGGGGATAAAGGATAAAGACAGACCCAAGCCAAGGATAGAGTAGTGTAGGTACCGGTAGGGTGCCTGTCTGTGTCGATAGGATTGCTGGCAGAGTAGCCAGTTGCCGTTCCGGGGGGCAAGCTCGACCTAACCAGCCACACCTGGGCAGGGGAAGGAGCAAGATAAGATGCGGGAGAGCGATAAGAGATGGGCGATTGGGCGATTGGGCGATCGGGCTTGGATTGCTATCACCAACACCGATTGCTCGTTGGCATCAACCTTGGACAGCCGAGCCTTGCCAGTCGTATAGCGGCTTCCCTCGGCAGATGGCAGATGGTTGTCAGTTGTCTTGTATGGTGTAGGATAGTGCAAGGTGGAATGCAACAGCAATGGGGATAACGATCAGGGAGTCGACCGAGAGAGTGTGCGGGATCACAAGTCATTAAGTACAGCCCATTGGTCCCGAGAGAGGAGCTCTAGAACGCGGTTGACGACGGCCGGGCTCTCGATGTTATATGCTGAGTTATCGTTGCGTCGTGTGGGGGATGATCCGTGATTGCGACGAGGATAGAGCCATGGATGGCATCCAGCACGCCATTCCACCGCTGCCGTTGGCTAGCTACCCTTCCCAGGCAACATCCCCCCACCCAAACAACCCACCATGGCGCCGCGTGTCTTGTCCTTCTGGAATTCTCTCCATCACAGGCCAACGGCGGGTCTCCTACTCTACTATACGGTAGGCACTCTGTTATGGTCGTCTGAAATGTCTTTGGTGCCCTGGCCATCATGGTCATCATGGGCCATCGTGGTGTTGTGCATAACTGACTTGTGACCCGGGCCAATCGCAGGCCAAGCTCATCCCACGAAACACCTCCGCTCGCTTCCATGTTCTGCAACTCGGTAGGTACTCTTACGACTAGGTACTACTCTACCACTGGCGCCGGCTGCCAACTTGAACGCACAACCAGCTGCGCGCTCGGCTGCCTATCAGTGGCTGTCGCTGCATCACGTTGCCTTGCGAGCTTTGCAAACACAATGAGCTCTTCTTGCGAATGTGTCATCCACTACTGCTTTCGGCAATCCGGCTTTACTTCAATGGTCGAATTCAAAAACCACGCAGCCATCGGCGGGACTGGCGATCGCACGGTATAAACTCACCGTCCAACAGGATGCGCCAGTCGGATCACGACCGTTGACCCGTCTGGTCGGACGGGAGCATCAAACGCACTGCTTCTGCCTTGAGCCAACAACATGCGTCGACAAGCGGGTCCATTGTCCACCTACGCTACCTACGAAACTCCATGCTAATTGACAACCCGGCCAATCATCATGGCCGATGCACAGCACTCACCGTCTAGAGCGGCTCCGAGTCTCCACGAGTCTCTACACACCCTGATGGATCAACTCTGAAACGCGACTGTGTGCAGACTTCACAGTCAGTCTACACTCGCCCTAGCCATGATTCGTCATCTGGGCGGACACGTGTCGGCGAGACAGTACATCTACTCACGCAATGACTCAGTCAGAGGGCGAATGCATCTTCAGTCATTTTGCTGCCTAGTGATGCCCCATATCTGAATGGGAGTAGTGGTGGGATAGAACGGTCCATCCTGGAGATGTTCAGGCACGGGCGGGAAATCGAGAGGCTCAACACAGAACCTGTTCCGCTCTACCCCACATAAAGTCAGCAACAGCTCACCTAATGTCGTAACTCGACGAAAGCAAAACAGGGTGAGACCCACTACACGCGTTCAAAAAGGTCTCGAACGTCTGCTCGTTGCGTATTGTTGCAGAGACCAGGACTTGAAGTGCTGGATTTTGCTCGAAAAAATCGCTCATTGTCGTGACGAATCGAGGGATGACGGCTTTGTCGTAGGTCTGGAAATCTGGTCAGCAATGGCCTTGAACAGTACTACCCCAATGATGCCTTACAACGTCTGCTCCCAGGAGAAGGTCCGGTACTTCCATCCCATAATCCTCCGAGAAGGTTGTTGCGTCTATAGGCCATCCCCATTTCAGAGATGCTGTCCGCACTTGGCATTCAGACGCATCGTCGATGTCAAGCCCGTTGAGAAACAGGTTTGTCTTGATTGCATCCACGACCGCCTCATCTCCATCTGTCGCTACAATGCCAGATACTTTGAGGTGTTTGGCACAGAGTATCGAGAGCATGCCCGTTCCAGCACCCAACTCAAACAGTCTCTTGCCACGGACTCTGGCCTGGCCTTGCGCTGAGGTGAGATAAGACCCGAGATGAAGAGCAGCTTCCCAAGTCCTCAGTCCAGTCGTGCCCGAGGACGAGATGACAGACCGCGATTCTAGTAGCGTCACTGTGCGCTCGTCCAAAGGTCCTGGGTAAGAGTACGTCACAAATGCCTTTTGTTGTGCCGAATCGGCTTCAGAAGGGACAGTGGTGAAAAGGAGAGATGACATTGCAGACATGAGCTGATCGGATAACTCCTGCGGACAATCAAGTGGCTGGTTAGCAAACGTATCGACCAGAGCTCTTAGCTCGACATAGCTGGTCTATAAGAGGCTGCATATGCGCATAGTACAAGTCAAATCCAAATGCCAACTTCAGGCGATGAAAGAGGTGGGCCTACATCCTCTTCAGGGTCAGTGATGGCCCCTTCAAGTTTTGAAATGAGAATCTTCAGGATTCTGAGCTGATAGCGGTCTGGAGGCGGCGACCTGATGCTCTCTGTGTCGAAGAGATTGGCGAACAGCCATGATTGCACTTCGGGTCTCTTCAGCATTTCCATGTTTGGCCAACGCAGTTGATGTGGCCCAACCAGTTGGAAATACTGGCGCTGCAGAATCCGCAGCTGCGACGCGCATTGATCGTCCATTTTTTGATCAATAAACTGGACCACGCACGACAGATGCACCGCAGCGTGCAGCGTATCTCCGATAGAAATCTTACACCTTGGTCGAGATTGGGGTGGGAGGTGTTCGCTTGCTGTGAGGACATGTTCCACCGCCAAGACTATTTTTGCAAAATTAGGTAAGCGTGGCCGGCATTTCGAGCTCGCTTAGCTTAGACCACACGCCGACATCTGCGAATTACGACTTCAATCATCCTGCCGCCAGCTAACTCAACAGCGTATCGACAACAGCAGGATCGAACTCTGTCCAGTACGTCCATGGAATCGTTGCGGCTACATCGCTGGCATAAATAGCGTCTGACTGACGCCTCGCAGGTCGAACATAAAGTCAACATGGCCGATTCTCAGGTTACTCTGCGCACGCGCAAGTTCATCCGCAACCCCCTCCTCGGACGTCGCCAGATGGTCGTGTAAGTGCAGGATACGCCGGGCATGCAACTTGTGATATCGACTGGGTCTGACAATGGTCCAACAGCGATGTCCTCCACCCCAACCGCGCGAACGTTTCCAAGGACGAACTCCGTGGCAAGCTCGCTGAGCTCTACAAGGCCAAGAAGGACGATGTCTCAGTCTTCGGCTTCAAGACACACTTTGGTGGTGGCAAGAGCACTGGCTTCGCGCTCATCTACGACTCCAACGAGGCCATGAAGAAGTTTGAGCCCCGCTACAGGCTAGTAAGATATGGCATGGCCACCAAGGTCGAGAAGGCCAGCAGGCAGCAGCGTACGTTCTCCGCAATCACCGACGCAATGTTATGGATCTGGCCATACTTGTAGTTGGATAGGTTCCCAGGATAGCATACTGACTCGGAAACAGGCAAGCAGCGCAAGAACAGGATGAAGGAGTTCCGCGGAAAGGCAAAGACCACGGGTGGTGCGAAGAAGGACAAGAAATAAGCGATTCCAGGTTAACGATGACTACGAAGGTCACGGCTGGAGTCGAGTGGCGGTTTCTCTGGAACTACTGGTTCGCCTGCTTCTTCTTCATGGTGGACACGGAGTTGCTTCTACGGACATGGGCATGTATAGCTACGAGCGCCTGAAAAACTCTTGTGGACAGGGACAACAAGACGGATGGCGTTTGAGTTTATTGTCTACTCACCATCAATGCATATCATGGACCTCACGATCCTGAACAAATTCATCGCCACCCTGTGCCACGTACCGCGACGGTGATGACTTGACCTCGATACTGACAAATATACCACTACAGCGGTGCTACAAAACCGTGACTACAGCAATTCGCCTTGCACAACACTTGTTTGCGATTGTGACGTTGACTGTTGTCTGGCCCTAAAACCTGTCTTGGGTATTTCAGCATGCACCTCCAAACCAAAGTAGTACTGACTTGCAAGTGACATTGATATTTCTCATCATCTATACTACAGGGACGGCAGCACTTGCCTCAGAGCCTCACCATTTTTTTTCTTACTTTTTACGTGGACCAGACCGTTGCACTGGTACTGGAAATACATCCTCAGATACCAACTAAAATGCTACATTACACTACACCACACTACACCACACCACCCGTCCCCTCCGTCTTCACTGCAGGAAGCCTAGACGGCGTATCCATTGCACCACCCGATCTGTCATGTGCTCCCTCAACCATACGCGCGGTTTCGCCCACACCCGGATCCTGCACGGACGACACGGCAGCCGCAGCCTCAGGCGCCGACGACGCAGGCAGAGGCGCAACCGGTTTCTTGGGCAGCATCTCGCCAAAGCGCTTGGGTACGTTCTTCGCGGGGGGCATACCGAGAAAGCCCTTGCCCTGCATGGATTCGAGCGGCTTGGCGCGGCCGCCGACATAGCATCCCAACTCGCCGCTCCAGACGAAGCCGCCGCCGACGAGGCCCCTGAGGACGCCAAAGGCGCGAGCGTCGCGGTAGGCCATGCCCGTTTCCGGGTCCTTGTAGCGAGCCTGGAGATTGGTGACGGGGCAGATTTTGTGGCTGGGTTTGAAGGCGAGTTCGGCGGCGGTCGGGGGGATGCCGTCTTTTTTCCGGGGCTTGGTCGACGAGGTGGATAGGATGGCTGTGACAAAGGTTGCGGCGTCTGCGGGAGACCAGTGGAAGAGGGTGGAGGAGATGTGGATGAGTGCGGACCGGTCTTTGTCTTTGAGCATCGAGGCTGCGGTTTTGGAGGCGCTGCGCGAGGTCGTGGGTTGGGGTGGGAGGTCGAGGTCTGGGAAGGAAGAGAGGATGAGGAGGTTGCGGAGGGCGCGGCGGATCTCTTTGCGGCATGGTGGGGGAGGCGGGAGGGGTGCGGGCGGTGGGTTTTGGAATGGTTGAACGGGGGATTGGGAGCCGATGGTTGGGTCGTTGGGGTGTGATGGATCCATGGAAGGGTGGACTTGGGGGAAGGGAGAGTGCGTTTGTGGTGCGTATGGCTGTTGGAAAGGAGATGCCTGGGTGAAGGGATTTGGTGGCAGATTGTCGGGCGTTGGGCTGGTCTGTTGGTTGTGTGCGTACTGGTCGATACCGAAGAGGAACGAGTCTGGGTGCGATGGAGCGAACACGGAGTTGTTGGGATAGGAGATACCATGTGAGCCCATGAATATATCCCCGCCTTGCGATGCGGCGGTCCAAGGTAATTGGGAAGTGTCTTGTTGTGGTGGTATAGTCGCTGTTGGAGGAGGAACGTGTGATGGCGTCGATGAAGGCTGGACGTGATGTACATCCTCCTGTAGAGGGGAGGCATGTCCCAATTGAATTGGAGGAGCCTGTGGCTGATACTCAGCTGAGGTGGCTGACTGCTGACCCGAAGGTTGTGCCTCAGTTGAATCTTGTTGTTGGTCCTCATCGTGTTTTACCTCCTCGTTTGGGGAAGATTCATTTTTCTGTGCATCCCGAAACTCCTTGTTCAGCTTCTCATCCAGATCGTCTAGTGTTGGCGCATCCTTGCCCGTATATTTGATACTATCGTCCACCCATATCGCTGGTCCACTATAGAATCTAATAAATGGACCATCGATTTGCCGATTTTTCAGGGCATCAATTTTGGCCTGACGCTCGGCTGCCCTTGCCTCTTCCGCCTCTTCCCACCTATGTAGAGTCTTCTTGTTGATTCTCTCATTCCGCGCAGCTTCCGCAAGCCGCTCTGCTTGTGTAAGTGGTGGCTCTTTGGCCTTTGCCTTGCGTGCTTCAGCAGCCTTCATCATAGCCAGAGTATCGTCTCGTCTTCGGTCCTTCTCTTTGAGCTTGGCCATTGTGGTCTCCTTGTTCGCCACTGTTTGTTTTCGCGACGACGTCCGCACAGGTCCATCCTCGACTGTAGGTATCCATGAAGCTCGCTCCGACTTCTTCTTAGGCCGGGGCCGGCCAAAGGAGCTACGCGATTGTGCATCTGAAGCACCCGGTACGTCGAGCTTCACCTTTTTGCGTGTCGCGGCGGCGACTCGAGCAGCGAAAGGGTTGGTGGTTGCTTTGCGCTTTTTGTTCCTCTCCTGACGCTCTGCCTTGCGTAGTTCCTTCTCGCCCGCGTCGTCCTCATCCGCACCCTCAACGTCTTCCTCCGAAGATGACGAGTCCATGTTGTAGTCTTCCTGTTCGTTGACATCGCCGCCCTGGAAATCTTCCTCGTTCGGCGCATCCTCCCATTCCTCGCCCCACTCCTCCTCTTCTTGCTCAGCAGATTTTGCGAGCAGGGTGGACATGCGGTTGCCCGCATTGGATCGCCTTGCCCTGGTGGTGACCATGAGGTCGACAGGCGCCTCCAAGCGACTCTCATCCCCGGAGCTTTCTGAAGTCGCATCCTGGTCAGAGTGAGTGACGTCTTCGACGGGTATCGGCGCAATTGCCTCTGCCATGGCGGGCGGTGGCAGATAGATGGACGCTTTCGCGTAATCGAGATGCGAGGAAGTTGTACGCGAGCCGGCTGGGGCCTGAGGCAAAGCGAGGAGGGGGGTTGACACTGTCAAGGCGGGAGTATGCTGGTCACTGCTGCTTCCAGAAAACTTCTATGGGGCCGCCATCATGCACTCCAGGTGGGCCGCGGAATGGGGAATTGGTAAGCGGCGACGGCGGTGGATCCAAGGGTTGTCCGGCTTTAGACTGCTGTACAAGTACTGGGTGTTCGATCGTGGAGGAGGACTGTCTGCACAGTGTGCTGTTTATAGCTTGTGGGATAGGATGCGAGGGCAACTCAGCGGACGTGTTGTTTCAAACAGCGTTGGGGGCTCGTCACGACGGGTTGTATGTTGTAGATTAGGTGAGGTGACGCGAGAGACCAATGAGCAAGGCCGATGCCAAGACAGCGGAGGACAGGCTTGGCTGGGCGAGAGCTGGGGGTTCACGGCCTGAAACATAGCGCACGCCTCCATCTCACTCGAGACGTTAGCAACCCTTTTTCCAGAAGGGCAATTGTTTCAATGGCGGTGGGCGCGAAAGGGATGCCCATGCCCGTCCAGCTCCCTGTGAGGAAGACTGAGGGTTGAGCGGTAGGATGCTCGCGGCGACACCGGTACTCTTCCTAACCTATCACTGCCTATCCCACTGTTGGAGGATGCTATAGGTGCAGAACTCTCAACCATACCGTACTCTAGTAGGGGGAGCTTGAGGGCCCAGAGAGCCGTGAGAGCGAGCGTTGAGAGATGGCCTGGACAGGACAGGACAGGACAGGACAGGACAGGACAGGCACATCTTTTGTTGCTAGCACAGGGCCACATCTTTCGTTCTGGCCCTCTGTGCCGCACGGCAACCTGCGCGTGCTCCCGAAGTTAGCACATCGTGCCTCGCCAATCACAGCCTCACAGCAAGCCGTTGTTGCAAAGTGTCCACGTCAGAGTTTGGAGTGACGGACTATCTCGACGCGCCTCTGTGTTTCAAAAACGGCGAGGATGCACTTCCGCGAGCAGCCATTCAGGGCAGTTGGCCGCATGGACAAGGCAGAAGAACAAGAACAAGCCCCTGAGTTTGCGTTGAAAAGCGTGTCTTTTGCTGCGGTGTGAGCACGACACCCACACATCCACACACACACACACACACACACACACACACAAATAACCAGCGCTGACCACGCCTCCAGCCAAAAAGGTTTCTTTCTTTCCTTCCCCCCCCTCCCCTCCTCTCTCTCTCCCTCTATTCGCTCGCCGCTCTCTGCTCGATCATCTCGCCGTTTCTTGCTTGTTCTTTCGTTGCTCTCGTGTGGCTCGTCGCTCGTAACCTGTAACGCGTGCCCGCCCCCGGCACCAAGGTTGTCCCGAATCAAGCTCCTCACGTTACTTAGCGTTGGCTGGCCTCCCAAGACCTCCACCTCGCCAATTTACCTTTCTCTCCCCAGTGCCACCAACCCACCAACCCACCATCCCACTCTCTCTCTCTCTCTCTCTCTCTCTCTCTCTCTCTTTCCCCCCACCCGCCGCCTCTCACGCCTGCTCCAACAGCTCGCTCCTCGACCGTTGCAGCTGCTGCACTCTGCATCGCCTTTTCCCCTTATGAGAATAGGTGTATAATCCGTCCATTTGCCTAATCGTATTGCCTACTTCTGTTCTCCAGGACACTCCGGTGATCTGTCTATTCCGCCCACCTGCTGTACCCTAATCGAGCCCAACCGGCCGCCCCAGCCCACGTCGACGACTTCATCTAGCATTGCAGGCAGGCATAGCCCCTCGCCCCTCGTCCCTCGACATTCTTTAGCGGTAGCAATCGTCGCAGGTGAACTGCAGTTTCGACCCCGCAAACTCGGTGTGGCTTCGCTGAGATTCTCCGAATCCTTCAAAGCCTCAGCTTGCAGTGACGCGCGTCTTGCTCGCTTCCTTACAGCCCCGAGCCATCTCCAGAAGAGAGAGAGCTCAACTCTGGCAAAAACCAAGACATCATACAGGCGAATCCTGCGCAGTCCAGTGATCGCGCATCTCACGGACTGGATCCACGGGTGCCTCTGTCTCTTAGTCCGCTACCTATACACATCACACAGGCTTGCGCTGAGCTGAGCCCGCTCTTACTCACAAGCATCACCCAGGCCTATCGTTCCTTTGGCCGGTACCAATTGCGTTTCTGCCGTGACCCTGGCATTCATTTCCGGCGTCGTTATCAAACATTCTTCCAGCATTAGACTATCATCGTGAAGACCGGGTCTGTAATCCATAATGGCTCCAACCACCCGCACCGACCAGCACATCAATCTCAATTATATTCCCCAGCTGTCACAGCCGTCTCACTCTGGCTCCTCGACTGGCAACACGTCTCCTGTCGAGCCTCCCAACAGCAGCTCCCTACGTTTCCCCGGGAACACCTCAAATCCTTTGGGGAACACGGCTGCGGGGGCAAGGCTAGGCAACGGCTCTCCGTCACACGACTATGGCAGCCGTTTATTCTCCAAGCGGTTTGTTGGCCCCTCGAATGTCTCACAACGTTGACTAACTTTGCTCATAGTGCGCGCGAGATTCAAGCACAGGAGGGGCTGACCCCTCAAATGTGGGGTCCGCCGACCAGTGGGAATTCCACCCCATTACGCGAAACAATCCCAGAGTCTCCCGTTGGTGACAGCTTCCCAGACTTCAACAGCCCTATGCCCGAGGCCTCGTCTGCTGCGCAAACGTCAGGTCGACGTGCCCGTGCCGGCACCCTTCCCTCGCGTTTCTCTCCCACCGCCGCCCCTCCAGGACTCATGTCAGCCTCCTCGCTGCTTCCCAAGTCGTCACGCCCAACCCCTTCAACGAGTCCCTTTAAATCTGGCTCTGGAACTCCGACCGATATTTCAAGCTTCAACGCCCTTGGCTCTACCAACGCTGCAGCCAAATCGGTACTACTCTCTCGCCTTCGTGCTGGCTCCATGCCTCAACGACCCGGCTATCTGCCGCCCTCTTCTTCTCCCTTCGGCCAGGGCGTTTTCTCATCAGGCTGGAGTAGCAATCGTGACCGTAGCAGCACACTTCAGAGTATCGCATCCCAACCATCGAATGGCCCTGGATCTCCCATGTCTTCCTTCTCTCGTGACTCGCTCGCGGATACTGATGTGAAGACTCTCGACTATCTCGGCCTTGTCGACACGCCTCAGCCCACTAGAGCAACTTTAGCGCCTTCTGATATTGAACTACTCCTCGAGAGCCAGCGGAATGCCAACAATCTCAATGTGAACAGTGGTAGCCGATTCCGATCTTACTCGGTCAACGCAAAGGAAAAGTATGCCGAAGATGAAGATGACCAATACAGCGGTTACAGTGGGACAATCACACCTGCCGAAGCGAATGCTCTTCTCATTCACGAGGCGGTCCGTCAGCACAACCTTGAAGTACAAGCATTTGCCAACATTGCCTCAAACGCCCGTCCCCGAGCTCGTGCGAGCACTGCTGGTGTGCTGGACGCTCCTTCTCGAGGAATGATGCGGAACTATCTCCCCGCAATGGGACGCTTCGACAACGGCATGTCGACTGGCGACTTGACCGAGGACGCCGAATACAATCTCACCGAAGCAGTCAAGAAGCTACACCTTCCTAGTTCAAACCTCGGCGATGATGGCACATTGGAAGGTCCGACTCGATCCCTGTGGCTGGGCAACATTCCTTCGTCGACTACCGTGTCTTCTCTCAATGTGATCTTTGCCAATTACGGAGCGATTGAGTCGACTCGCGTCTTGACCCACAAGAACTGCGGTTTCGTCAACTTTGAGACCCTTGAAAGCGCTGTCAATGCCAAATCTACACTGAATGGCAAGGAAATCTTCCCGGGTGCGGGTCCGGTCCGCATCGGGTACGCTAAGATCCCAAGTGCAGCAGCTACGCCGGGTCACAACGGTGTTTTCCCTTCACCAAGTCCAGACCCACATGCCAAGGCTCCAGCAGAAGGCGGGGCTGGTGCAGCGGGCACCGCGAAAGCTGCTGTTCCTACGGCTAGTCTGCCTTTGACCACTCCTGAGCTGACAGCTATCCGTGACGACATCATCCAGATTGTCAAGGAACTTGGTGCTACTGATGAGGAGCAAACCCGAATCTCTGCTCAAGTCGACCAAGCAATCAAAAATAACAACTATGTGGACGAAGTGCCTCCTGTCGAGGAGCCCAGCCACACTCGCACCCACGATGCCCCTCGTCTGCGCGAGATTCGTAAACGCATTGACAATGGATCTTGTTCAAAGGAAGAAATTGAGCAGATTGCTCGAAATATGCTTCCTGAGATCGCCGAGCTTGCTTCAGACTACTTGGGCAATACTGTTGTTCAAAAGTTGTTTGAGTTTTGTGAGGAGCCCACCAAGGAGGCAATGTTGGGCGAGATCGCTCCTCATCTTGCCAAGATTGGTGTGCACAAGAATGGTACCTGGGCTGCTCAGAAGATCATCGATGTTTCCAAAACCCCTACGATGCAAAAGATGGTCGTGGATGCCGTACAGAAATACGCCATGGCACTGTTCCTGGACCAGTTCGGTAACTACGTCATGCAGGGCTGTCTGAAGTATCAAAACTACAACAACTTCATCTTCGAGGTCATGCTTGGTCGACTATGGGACCTTGCTCAGGGACGATTCGGTGCCCGTGCCATGCGAGCCTGTTTGGAAAGCCATTTTGCAACCAAAGACCAGCAGCGCATGGTCGCAGCTGCCATTGCTCTACACAGCGTCCAGCTGGCCACAAACGCCAACGGCGCCTTGCTGCTCACGTGGTTCCTCGACACTTGTACATTCCCAAGACGACGCACTGTCCTTGCTCCTCGTCTTGTCCCACACATTGTTCATCTCTGCACTCACAAGGTTGCGTATCTTACCGTCCTTAAGATTATCAACCAACGCAACGAGCCGGAAGCTCGTGACACCATTCTTCAAGCGTTGTTCTTCTCGCCAGATGACCATATTCTCGAAGCCATCTTGGCTGATCAAAACTGTGGTGCCACCTTGATTTTCAAGGTACTCACAACTCCCTTCTTCGATGAACAGATTCGTCCAGATGTTGTTCAGAACGTGCGCAATGTTCTTGTTCGCATCAAGGCACAGCCCCAACAAGGCTACAAGCGTCTGATGGACGAGGTAGGCCTCTCCACCCGTGGTGGTCCTGGACATCGCGAACACTCCGCCACGCGTCCTGCCTCAAAGGACAGTGCGGGCATGCCTCCAGCCAACTTTTACCAGGGACCTGGCTCCGCCTACGACCCCATCGCGCTCCAGCGAACGGCCAGCATGGATTCGAACAGCTTCGAACAATACGCCATGGGAAACCCCATGTACATGCAAGGCATGCCGGCCATGAACAACCAGCAACAGATGCAATACCAGCAGCTGCTGGCTCGTCAAGGCCAGTTCGCCTACCCCCAAATGAATGGGTTCCCTCCTGCCGCTCCCGGCATGGATGCCTATCGCAACGCATCCCCGGTTGCAGCTCCTGGCTTTAGCGGCTCGCCCATGATGCAGCCCGCCAACCTTGCAGGACCGGGCATGCCCCCAGGCATTGGTGCCGGCATGTACCCACCCTACAACATGTATATGCCACAACAACAGCAGCAGCAGCAGCAGCCGCCATCCGCTGGCGGCAACCAGCGGCGCGGAAGACTTAGCAGGAATGCGTCTCCTGCCGGTACAACTCGACGTTGACGTCTTGTTGAATGAATGCATGGCCTGGACTGATGGTTTCTTGTGATTTATGTTTTTAGAGATATATTGGAAATTTTTGATTGGGGAAATAAGAAAGCATCAACAAAAAAAAAGCGAGGTATTGCTCTACCACTGGGGAAAAAGGAGCAATGCCCGTTTTCTCTTTCCATGTATATGACTTCAGGGTTCGGATTTGGGACATGTATGGTATGACGTTTCAGCTAGTGAGCGGGTAGTTTAGCGGGATGTATACGACTCTCTCTCTCTCTGTATGTTCTTCACCTTGTCTTGTCTCTTGCTGCTGCTGTTGTGCTGCATATGGTGCCGTCTCGCATGTCTCTCGCATCTAGTTTCCTTATGCGCCATCCGACCAAAGAGTTTACTGGTATACCAGACTTTTCACAGACATGGAAGATGATTGCGCGGTTTGTTTGCACAAAGCTATTGTGTTTTTTTTTTCAATGCGCGCGCGGCTTCGCCTTTTAGGTCTTTTTTTTTTTGGTATTCTTGGATTTGTATTGTGCAGCACTCAGTACTAGGGGAGTTATCGAGTATGTTTACGCTGTTACTTGATAGGGTGGGTTGGAAGTCCCTTCCTCCCTGCTTCTGTGAGTCTTAGTCTCTCTGTCTGCATTCATGGTTACGGTTACATTCGTGCTTGTATTCAGTGTGAGATTTTGAGTTTGAGTTTGATTTTGATTTTTCTTCTCCAAAAGCAAATTTTGGCAATTGATTGTTGAATAGAAAGATGAGCTGGTTATTAGTGGGAGTAGAAGTAGGAGAATCAATATATCCATACATCTCTTCATTCGTTCGTTTATTCGTTCCAAAAGTCAAGCCAGCTATGTCTATCCAAGACTGAGGTGAGAAGAATACTTTCAGATTTTTTGCGTGGGTATCGTTGTCCTGTCTTGTTTTTCCACTCCTTACTCCTCCCTCTCCACTCCTCCCCCTTTATCACTTTCGTTCCAATGTAATCGCTGCACAAAATAGGAGAAACGCGGTGAGGGTAACGTCCACCGCCTTGCAAAATGTCGCATGTAGGCTTTTTTGGACCAGCAAACGCGCTTGGACGGCGACGCAAGGCGTGCGTTCTTCATGGCACAGGATTCACATGCAGTTTGCGGCGTGGGCTTAAGACAGGACGCTTCATGCTGGTCTTTTCCCATACCTCCGCACTGGCATTTCCTTCTGCAGGGTACGAGCAAGCAGACTATCAGGTGCCACCCAAACAGGCCGCCGTTACCACCCCCGCACACCTAATGAGACCCATTCGCCTCGGACGGGCTCAACTTTCTCTTCTTGGCCTCCCTGAGATCACCCGCGCTATCCAACGGGGGGCGATATTGCTCTGCTCTGCCCTGGAGCTTGTATATCTCACGCTTGATATTCTCTTCGTTGGCGAGGAGGTCGAGTTCGGTGACTGGGTTTTCGATGCTAGCGAGCACGCTGTTGACGGTGGAGATGTGGTTTGCGTCTTTCTTGTCGTCGCGCCAGCGGGGGTGGCCGTTGTGTTCGGCCTTGTATTTCCACTGGCCTGAGGGGTGGCGGTAGCATTCTATGATGCGCCCGTCCAGGCGCTGGTTTAGGCTCTTGAGCGTATTCCATTCGGCGGGCGTGAGGGCGAGGGTGGCGAAGGGTTGGTATTTGTCTTGGCCGTGGGAGACAAGGAGTTGGATCGGGGCCGGCATGGCGTCGTAATCTGGTATCAGGCCATCTTCGCCGTCTTGCGGGTCAATCAAGGGGAAGTCGCCGAGCCGCAGTTTGAAGTCGATTGTGTTTTCGTGGGGGGGCTTCCACTTGAGAATATGGCGGTCTGTGCCGAATTCGTAGCGTGTGTTTTTACACGTGAAGATGAGGCCGTCGTTGCCGTGTTTGAGGTTGGGGAGCACCTTGTTGAACATTTCTTGGAGAGAGTAGGCCGAGTAGGTCTTTTTTGGTTTGAGGGCAAAGGGCTTGAGGTCATTGGGGGTTATCGCTGGCCCGAACTGGCGGGTGAGATAGGCGTTGTAGGGCTTGAGGACCCATTCCTGGAGGCGACCCAAGCGCTTGTCGAGCGGCTTGCCCGTCACGTTCTCACTATCTACAGCAAGACAGTCGAATACGTAGTAGTTGAGTCGCGGCGTTGGCTCCCCAGGGTAGTGATCGTTAACTAGTTCTCCGTCTAAAATGGTTCCGAAGAGGAATGGCTCTGGATTCTCGGGTTCCTTGTAGTATGGTATCCGAAATGGAGGTTGGATTTGATAGTAATTATTTTTGCGATCAAACAGAAACGTAACTGGCTCGAATCCCGCGCCTGTGTCCTGCCAGTGTAGGAACAGTAGGCAGCGCAAGCCATCCGTCTTCTCACACATGAAGTATTCCTGCCGTTGGAGCTCTTGAATGTGTTCGCGCGCAAATGATACGGGTTGCGCGCCTGGAAAGCGCAGGTTGTCACGTTCAAGAATATTTGCAACCTGTTCTTTCAAAGGATGCGCGTCGTGGTTCGTGAGCATGTATCCTGGCATCTGCGGCGGCGCGTGGCTAGGCATGGCGGACGGCATGCTGAAGGCGGCCAGGTACTCGTCGCCGACGTGCGATCGAGGCGAGAAATTATTGTGCGTTGGCCTGAAGACGGAAGTTGTGTGGGTAAAGTATGAAGAGTGAAGGATGCTTTCTTCGTGCCAGGCAGAAAGTTGTGATATCACCCAGTACAGTACCGTGGTTGTGAGCTCATGGTACACGCGCCAAGATCAGGGTCCAATTGCGCATTGACGAGGTTACTCGAAAACATGAGTTCTATGAATCTTACAACAGCCAGTGATTTCTCGTTCTCCTGTTGTGATTTAAATGATTTGCAGAATCATCAGGCTCAAGATGGATGATTTCGATAGATATCAATCGTCATACCTTCTAGTATAGTACATAATACATTATCGTAGCAGTCATCTCTAGATAATACAAGTCTACTCATCGTCTCGTTCCGCTATGCCTTGACGCTCGTACTCGTCATAAGCTTGCTCGGTTGCTTGACTGTGCTGGCCTCATCTCCCGGATCTCCTTGAAACTTCCAAGTTCCGACTGCTACCTCGTCATCTGTTGCCTTGTCCAGTCTCTGGATCTCTCTCCTCATATAGCCAACAATTTGGGCAAGCTTCTCGAAATCGACATCCTCCCTAGCAGCTAGCAGATTCCGCCAGATGGCTGCTGCGAGCACCGCATCTCCCTTGACGAGACCTTCATCATACGCCAACAGCACCGCGCGCCATTGGGAAAACATGTCTTTCAACTGCTTTTGACGGAGTGAGTTGGCATTGAACTTGTGCCAGACTACGAGGCGATCTTCAGCGGCGTAAAACGCTTGGTTGGTAAGATGCTGGATCCACACCGACGCATGCGATTGTGGGAACATGCGAAAGCGAACCTGGAACATGTACATGTGGAGGAAGGTGATCTGTGACCAATTTGAAAAGGTTGGTTTCAGACCGAGTGCTGCTATATTGTCAGAAGACATGTGTGTGGAGGCCATGGAGAGGTGTGCACATACTGTCGTACCACCAGCCTTCTGCCTCTCCTATGTGCGTGCCATTCTCGTCTACAGGTATCTCTCCGTTTTTGACAAGGGCTTGTGGTATTTTGTATTCGCCTGGCCTGGTGCACTCTTTGATCAGATCGCGCGTTGCACCGTATGCGACATACGTCTCTGTCAGTAACGGCGCCTTTGCACGCAGCTTCTGAGCCAGGCTATTCATGCCGCCCTTGGTTGCAGGCTGCGGCTTCTTGACCGCTTCGGGTCTGACATCTGCCGACAGTGTCTGTGACGCATGATAGAGGCTGGGTGTGGCGGTGGAGAAAGTTCGCTGTGCGCGGCGCAAGGAAGTTTTGTGTGAACGCTTGAAGGAGTCAATGATAGGAAGGCCTGAGATCGCTTGGATCCATCAATTACCTGGAGAACAAGAGAGGAAGATCTGGCCAATGCCCTAGAGCAAGCTGTGCAGGTGTAGTTGGACGCCATTGGTGTGGGTGGTTGACTTGATTGTGTTGTTAACGCAGTCTTCTCAGCAGTCGTCAAAAGTTCGCGGGTCGTGCATTTGGCGGTCCAAGGTACCAGAGCGGTAATATCCATGACGACTTCACCACCCTGGTGCTCTCCACCCACCCACCCACCACCAATAAACATCCTCCCATATATATATACTACTCTATCTATGTAGGTACAGTATACAGCCTGTGGTTCGACTACCCCCCCAAAGCTTACCTACAACCACGGGGTCGACGTCTTGCAGCAATTGTGTGACAGTGCAGTGGCGCAACATTGCCATATCCATTAGTGGACGAACCACATGCTTTGTCTGCGCTGTTGTCTACCTAGACTTGAACTGCGCTTCTGGCACGCACCGCAGTGTACCGGTAGTGCAAGCAAGCACACAGCGTAAGCAGTACGCTTGGCTGTGATCAATGGGCAGACAGCCCATGTGCTTTGTGCACAAGGCCCAAGTGCGTGAGAGACCAATGGAACCTCCGGTACGTGTGACTTACCGGTAGTCGACTGGTGAATCGACACCCCCGGACAGCTGTCCCCGGATCTGGGAACATTTCCATTTTGGATCGACTGAGGGGAATTTGAAGTTTTGACGTTACTGTAAATGCGTAGTCATCTCAACCCAGTCTTCAGTCGGCACCAAGCGGCAAGTTCTCCGCACCCACCAGGACACGCGTGCCCAGCTCCAACATAAGGCGAACCGACATCGCATCCCAGAATTTCCTCGGAACACCAGCCTTCATAGTAGTCTTGGAGGCTTGCAGGACTCACGGTTACTGCTCCTCTTTGCTGTCATCTCTATACCGTCCGTAGACGTCAGATAAAACAATACTACGGCCTGCCGCTTTCGCTCACACCACCTCCTCCCAATACTACATCCAGTCACCATGTCTCTCGAAGGTCCATCCACCTTCGCAAACCTCAAACACAATCCTTTGTACATACAATTACTAAATCCACAGAACCACTACACATCTGGAGATCGAGTCGAAGGCGTCGTTCGCGTAGATCCAACCGCCCGACCTCGGAACGTTAGCATTGTCTTCAAAGGCTTCTCGGTCCTGTACGACAAAGAGGCTGTACCGTTAAAGGCAAAATTCTTTGAATTGTCCACAAGTCTCTTCGTCTCAACGGGTGCGGGAGAGAACTTTGATATACTAAGGCAAGGCACGGCCAGCGATGGGAAGGTGGAGTTGCCTTTCGCCTTTACATTTCCGCACAATGTCACGCTGCCCCCACCCTCAGAGCGAGCTTGGTGGTACCCAAAGGATGATTACAACCACCCACGCTTCCAGCACTCTCCAGGATTTCTTCTACCACCCAGCTGTTCCCCAGTGAGCCCAGCAGTCAGTGGCATTCTAGCACCAACGGTCATGTACATTCTCGAAGCACGAGTAGACAACACCCTCAGAGTTCGACAAGATCTTTTCTTCATTCCACCAGCACCAGAATACGACCTTGCACTCCTCGAACCAGACCTCAACTTTGGCCTCACGCTACCTAAACACTGTTGCCGTTACAAGATCATTCGCACCCGTAAACTCCTCCCAGGGTACAGCGAAAGCAGCAAACTTGGCAAACTCAGGGACAAGTTGGTAGAAAAAGAATTGTTTTTTGGTATAGAAAGCTACGCCGAGATACCCTTTGTCCGTTTCAACCTGTTTGCCACAGCAGCCCGCATTCTCGTCATCGGTGACCTGGTCCCCGTCATCGTGACTGTGCAACACCTAGAACGCTCCGATTCACTGCCGGAACCACCGATAATACATCTAAGACGTGTACGCGTGCAATTACACTCTGCATTCCATGCCTTCCTCCCTCCTCCGCATGCTGCCAAGAAGTTATCCAAGGGCATTGTCGATGTCACAAGAGACGTCACCACGCTCCTCGACAAGAAGCTTGACAAGGCCGATGGCAAAACACTCCACGACGGCTTAAATCTCCTCGACATCGAACCCATTCGACTTTCAAGCGATAAACTGCTCCCCAGCTTCACCAGCTACGGCATGGCCATGGAATATGAAATCAAAGTCGAAATCTGGGGCGAGTGTGCAGACCGAGACTTCTCTGGCTTTGCATGTCTCCAAAACGTCCAGATTGTCACGGGTTGGACGGTGCCCGACAGCGATTTGGGCGGCTTACCCGTCACGCCAGGACCAGCGTACGAAGAGGTGGATCCGTTGGCGGGCCAGGAGCCAGGTGTCTCTGCAACATCGAGAAGAGCACCAAACGGGGCCGCGACACAGCATACGGCGGATTTTCTTCCCGCATATGGAATGGCAGCTAACTCTGCAATCCCACCGGTAAACCCACGATCCCAGCCACCTTTGCCTCCGCCACCGTATGCAGACGGCGCTCGATGGGCATGATTGCAGCGTCAAAGAAACTATTCGCAACCACCATGACCCCATATCCCAAACTGCCTTTGACAATCCTGGGCTGCAGCTCGCAGTAACACACCTACAATGTGCATCAAAGACGGGACGGGTCCCCCAACCCCAAAACCCTCACACAACAAACCCTGCCACTACTACCGCTTGAGCCAGCCCACAACGCCATACTCAGCCCCACGCACTCAAACCTCGACATCCCTCCTCACCACATCACAGCAATCCATACCGTCCCACCAAACCAAACCTCCAACGCCCAGCTACGGTGTACGACAACGAAACCGCTCAACCCAGCCTGCACAGCCACACTCATCTCACGTACAGTACCTCGTACACCACAGTCAGGGCCCCGAGTCCACCACACCCATACCAAACGGAACTGCCACCCCCACCCCACAAAAAAAAACCCCCCCAAGCTCTCCCGTGTACGCGAGTGCGAGAAGCAAAATCATGCATGCTGCAGCACAGACAAGGAGATGGGAAACCACATTGCCACGTGGGGGTACTGTGTGTATACGGTATGAAGAGTCTGGATAAGTTTTGTCGAGCTTGGAGGTCTTGCGTTGCGGGGGGAGAGGGCTCGGATTTGGGCGCGTAATTGTGAGGGAGGGGAGGGGACATGAGAGATGAATGTTTGGAGGTTGGGGGTGTGGGATCGTGGGTACTATTACTCCTCCTCCTCCTCCACCAGTTCCTCATTAAGGTATTTTATAATACATAACAAAACTAAAATATACCCAAACTAATACACGCTTTTGACTCGCGACTCGCTCAAAGATGATCCATCACTGACTCTGAATCCTTCCGGATGCCCTGGTTCATCTCTGCGACTCCCGATCCCATGAGACGTGTGACTC